ACATGTCTAAGAGGTACTGCAGCGTTTGCTTCGTTCAGTGCGTGAGAAGAGGCGAGAGTTGTGGCAGGACAACTCGTGGCTGCTTCACCATGACGACGCGCCTGTTCACAATGCCCTGAGCATCCGACAGTTCCTGGCCGAGAAGAGCCTCGCCGTGCTGGAGCAACCTCCCTGCTCCCCCGACCTGGCTCCGTGTAATTTTTTTTCCTCCCCTAGCTCAAGGGGGTCATCAAGGGACCCGTTTTGAAGGCGTGGACGACATCAAAAAGGCCGTAACGACGGAAGTGCGGAGGATCCCGGAAGAATCCTTCCAGGAGTGCATGCAAGCGTGGCAGAGAAGGATGAAAAAGCGCAAAAGACTCCAGGGCCCGGATTCACTAACGCACTTACGATGGTAAAATCACTGGTAACTATAGTTACCATGTTAAACAGACAGCGATGGTATTCACTAACAACTTGCCATTTGAGTAACCATGGTAAATTTAACAGTGGTCAGAGCACTGGTACCTTCTGGGAGGACGATGTCATCACGTGTTATCTCATCAAAAAATCAATATGTATGCAAAGTTTTGGGTTTGTTTTTACACCTGATGTAACTAATATGATGGCAAACAGATATCACAATGAGGACATAGTGAAGAAATGCAAATTTCACATAAAACTAGCAAGAATAAAATCCACACAAATTCTCATAAACTTATAGGCCTACATTATACTAGAATGCATGGAACCGATAAATAAGTGAACATAAAAAAAAAAAAAATCTGACATAATCATTACAAATGCTATAGAAAAAAAATTACCTTGCTGATATATAAACTGGCAATGATGAAAAAAATATAAATAAAAAGCTGTTTGGACTGTCTCTTTGGTTTGAGTTAACAATAATATATTAATATAACAGTGTTTGCATTGGTTCCTATCTATACAGTAAATATATATCCAACATGATGGATATAATCAAATAAATATTTTTTTTTTTCTACATGTGTTTTAGCTCTGACGAATATTTAAACAATCTCGCTGTGTCTAGTTTTGTTTACATGTTACGTGATTGGCCGAGGGAACCCAAAAAATTCTGTATAGCGCTCGCTGATTGGTTGAATTGCTTTACCAGAGCCCTCTGTTGGCTAACATTTGAATGGGTCGATTTACGATTGTAACTCAGCATATCCAAATTACCATTTCTTCGTGAATCCCGCTTTGTCATGACTGGTAAACGCAACGGTAAATGACCGCTGGTAAATGCGTTACGATCGTATGTTAGTGAATCCGGCCCCAGGGGGCTTACTTTGAAGGGGAAAACTCTACATACATATATACACCCACACAAGTGCTCATATATATATATATATATATATATATATATATATATATATATATATATATATATATACATGTGTATGTATATATACATATAAATATGTACATATATATATGCCTATATATATGTATATATATATATATATATATATATATATATATATATATATATATATATATATATATATATATATATATATGTGTATATATATATTATATAAATATGTACATATATATATGCCTATATATATGCATATATATATAAATAAATAATAAATATATATATATATATGTATATAGATATAGATATAGATATACATACATATACAAATATCTATTTATCTATCTATCTATGTATGTATATATATATATACATATACATATATGTATATACATATATTATATATATATATATATATATATATATATATATATATATATATATATATATATATATATATATATATATATATATATGTATGTATGTATGTATGTATATATATGTATAAATAGATAAATAGATAAATAAATAAATATTCATATGCACATATATACATATGTATATATACATATATATATATATATATATATATATATATATATATATATATATATATGTGTGTGTGTGTGTGTGTGTGTGTGTGTGTGTGTGTGTGTGTGTGTGTGTGTGTGTGTGTGTGTGTATGTATATGTATGTATGTGTATACAGTGAAAGTGTAAAAAATATTGCAAAATAGTGCTACTGCATAGAATTTTGCTAATAATCCGGGTCAGGTACTGTAGTATGCGTAATATTTACCAATATAAATTTGTTAAAAATGAGCAACCTAGTAAATGATTTTATCCCTGATTCGAAGTCTTATTCATCTGTTTGCAGTAACACGAAAATTGTCTAACAAATACTCTCTGTACGACATGGTGAAGTGCTAATGCAGTGAGAATTTCCTAACTGCGAGAAAATAAAGTAAACAAGTACACTTCCACGTGACGGACATCGCTCCTTTAATTTTCTGTTTAAATATAAAGCACGAAGAGCGACGTCAGGCAACAAACATTTTTTGTCTTTGCTGCTTCTCTTTTTTTCAGAAAAAATGGAGTGGCATGACGAAAAAAAGGAAAAGGAAAATTTTGCAAAAAGTGAAGATATATGGCTTACAGAATATCAAGAATAACATGATTATCCGTTTTCAGCTTTTCACGGCATGTTTTATGCAATGAGTTCCGTCCTTTGATCTCTTACGACAATTCCGAATAAAGAACATTGTTTTTGACTGAATTTACATGCGTTGCATTTACTACTTTGATTGTATTTTTTATTTTGTATGATGTTCAATAAGCCAGTAACATTAAAAACACAAACATCCCGTTTCCAAGAACCAAAACCGGTACGATGAAGTTTTCTGTGTCGGGTCCCTTCCCGCTCGCATGATGTTGTCTTCTTTGGCATGCAAACTTTCAGCCATACTAAGAAAACGTCGATCTGTTCTGTCTACATGCTCTATAAACTCTATAACTAAACTGAACTTGTAGTTTAAAACTATAATTTTAGTTTAGTTTTAGAGTTTAAAGTGGCACACACCAGTACACAAAACCTATTGAGGTGCCATTTTGTTCTGAAAGGTAAGACGCTTCCCGATTGGTTGTCCTCTAGCATGTGCAGACATAGAAGCTCTTTGATTGGCTTCCGGCAGCATTGCCTCTGGTAGTGGTAATATTTGCAACTTTGCGAAGCAAAACCTGTGTTGGTTTCGTCCGATTTTTTCTTTATTTTTATTTTTTTCAAAATACAAAAATTTGAAGCGGCGAACCCGAGAAGCAACAAATAAAATTGGTGGGCCTCAGCTGGAATTAAAATAACAATGAAGAATTGTCATGTGCAGTTTTTCAGTTTGATTTATCTATTTGATTCTTATTGTTTATTTATTTGCTTCGTTTTCTTTTCTCTTCATGATTATCGAGAAGGTTAACCCTTTCTATAACCAGCTTTCAAAAGCTTATTTTTTCTTTTCTTTTCTAGCCGTCATGGAATTTTTGAATTTGAAATATTGTGCTCTAACGAAATTAGATCGATTCCCCCTTATCAGTGTCGTGTCAGTGACATCCGTGATGCTTCATTGACTATTCCCACAAATCCGTAATGATTCTGCACAGCGTGAAATCATTGATTTCCTAGATGGCAAAGTTTTCAGACGTGGAATTGGCAGTGTTTGATAAAGAGGGAGAAGCTGAAGAAAAGTGGGCACAGAATCATGGGAAAGGGAAAGAGTTGGAAAGTTTGCTACTCTGTACAAGTTAATTAATAATGGAAAAAAATCTAGTCCTGCAGAATGTCCGAAAATTGTTTAAACATATTGCTCAATAAAACAGAGGTTCTCCTAAGGATACAAGACATCCACAGGAGAAATGATACAAATATTTTGTACTAGGCTTGTTACTCTATTTATCTATTCAGATCCATACAGCTTTTCTTGATCGACAAATCTCGGACCTATTTTTCTAGTGACATTATTTTGAGTATAAAAGGAAACATTCAATTTATCTTTTATTGTGCCTCCAAGTCGGTGATTTCTACGATGTTGTACTTCCATTACTTTCATTGTAAAGAGTCAAGAGTCCTGAAAATGTAAAAGAAAAAAAATCTGGAATGAAATGACGTTGTTTGGAATTGCCGTGTAAGCTGATGACTTGATGCTAATATTCCAAAGCTGCTACTGTGTTTTCCTGAAATGGATGAGGCGAGGGGAGTGAAGTCTTAAGCTGATGATACGGAGGCTGACGGTTCATTTTTTTCTTCACGTGGATGTTGATTCGTGAGCATTTGCAATTCATATTTCTGCACTGTGGCAAATATTTCAGATTTTGCAACATTCAAGTAATAGGGGGTTAAAGTCTTCAGCGTTGGAGCTATGCCTGCTAGAAATGCGTCAACAGGATGTGGTGATGTGGAAAGGGTTTGTTTTTTTTGTTTGCTGATCAAGTACTCCTCCAGAGATATTGCAGAAGCTGTTTGTTGGGGAGCCACTTTCTTGTTTGCTGATTTTCCTGAAGCTTCGGGTGTAGGCTTTGGTGCGGGCGAAGGCTGTGCTCGAAAGTCTTCGTGTAGGCTTACGTCCGTTACTGCGAGTCCTTGTGCACCATACGCAACGTCCGCCTCATCTTTTTCAAGCTGTTGTGCATCATCATCTTGATCGCTCTCTTCATCCTGTTGACTGGCAATGTACCCTTTAGGTTTCCTCTCGTAAATATATTTCTTTAAGAAGCTTAACTGCTCCGAATACTTATAGATTTTCTTCTTTGCACTCTGCCCTCTCTTGGCGGAAGTCTTCTTCAGAGATTTTCTGTAATTGTCCCTTATATTGTTCCATCTTCCTTTACATAATGTACCTGATGAAGAAAAGAAAAGCTTTGTTTTAGAATAAGTTACATTTCTTTTAGGTACTATTGTTCCCTAAGAACAATTTTATTCAGCTACCGCTTGGGGCGTATGACTGGGCACAAGATCGTCATGGACACTTGCAACTTAATAAGAGAAAATCTCATGGATGAAATGATGCCAAACTCCGCAGCAAAGATTTAGAAATCAGTTAGTGACTTTTCGACACCGGAATTATCCTGACTCTGTGGGAGCTTTGGAGGGCAAACGTTCTACCCTTTAAGCTCCCCGCAAAGAGTGGATC